TTTTTGTGGGAATTTTTTTTTTCCCTGACAATTCCCATTTTTTTTTCTTCTTTTCCCCAGTGTTCAACACGGTTTACAACAGCGACGACAACGTTTTCGTGGGAGCGCCCACGGGCAGCGGGAAAACGATCTGCGCGGAATTCGCCATCCTCCGCATGCTCCTCCAGAATTCCGAGGGTCGCTGCGTCTACATCACCCCCATGGAGGCTCTGGCCGAGCAGGTGAATCCCGGGAATTCCCTCGGGATGCGGGAATTCCCGGAATTCCAGAGGAATTTTGGGGGGAATTCCCTCGATTTGAGAGGAATTTGTTGGGAATTGCTCCAATCTGAGAAGAATTCGGTGGGAATTCCCTGAATTCCAGAGGAATTTGGGGGGAATTGCCTTGATTTGAGAAGAATTTGTCACAATTTAAGGGAATTTTGTTGGGAATTCCCTGGATTCCAGAGGAATTTTGGGGGGAATTCCCTCGATTTGAGAGGAATTTGTTGGGAATTGCTCCAATCTGAGAAGAATTCGGTGGGAATTCCCTGCATTCCAGAGGAATTTGGGGGGAATTGCCCCATTTTGTTGTGAATTCCCTCAATTTGAGAGGAATTTTGTGGGAATTCCCCCAAACTAAAAGGAATTTTATGGGAATTTCTCCATTTTGAGGGGAATTTTGTGGGAATTGCCCCATTTTGTTGTAAATTCCGTCAATTTGAGAGGAATTTTGTGGGAATTGCCCCATTTTTGTGGGAATTCCCTCAATTTGAGAGAAATTTGTTGTGAATTCCCCCAGACTGAAAGGAATTTTATGGGAATTTCTCCATTTTGAGAGCAATTTGTTGGGAATTGCCCCATTTTGTTGTGAATTCCCTCAATTTGAGAGGAATTTTGTGGGAATTCCCTCAATTTGAGAAGAATTTTGTGGGAATTCCCTCAATTTGAGAGGAATTTGTTGTGAATTCCCCCAAACTAAAAGGAATTTTATGGGAATTTCTCCATTTTGAGGGGAATTTTGTGGGAATTGCCCCATTTTGTTATAAATTCCCTCAATTTGAGAGGAATTTGGGGGGAATTGCCCCATTTTGTTGTGAATTCCCTCAATTTGAGAGGAATTTTGTGGGAATTGCCCCATTTTGTTGTGAATTCCCTCAATTTGAGAAGAATTTTGTGGGAATTCCCTCAATTTGAGAGGAATTTTGTGGGAATTGCCCCATTTTGTTGTGAATTCCCTCAATTTGAGAGGAATTTTGTGGGAATTCCCTCGATTTGAGAGGAATTTTGTGGGAATTGCCCCATTTTGGTGTGAATTCCCTCAGACTAAAAGGAATTTTATGGGAATTTCTCCATTTTGAGAGCAATTTGTTGGGAATTGCCCCATTTTGGTGTGAATTCCCTCAATTTGAGAAGAATTTTGTGGGAATTGCCCCATTTTGTTGTGAATTCCCTCAATTTGTGAGGAATTTGATAGAAATCCCCCCAATTTGAGCACTAACAACACCTCTCCCATGCAAATTCCCAACAAATCCATCCGATTCCGCGCCAATCCCCTTTTTTCCCGCCTCAGGTTTTCATGGATTGGTACGAGAAGTTCCAGGAACGCCTGAACAAGAAGGTTGTGCTCCTCACCGGAGAGACCAGCACGGACCTGAAGCTGCTGGGGAAAGGGAACATCATCATCAGCACCCCGGAAAAGTGGGATATCCTCTCCCGCCGCTGGAAACAACGCAAGAACGTCCAGAACGTCAACCTGTTCATCGTGGATGAAGTGCACCTGATCGGGGGCGAGAACGGGGTGAGGATCCCGGGAGTGGGGTGGGATCCATGGGATCCATGGGATCCACGGGATGGGATCCATGGGATCCACGGGATGGGATGGGATCCATGGGATTGATGGGATGGGATCCATGGGATCCACGTGATTGGATCCATGGGATGGGATCCATGGGATGGGATGGGATGGGATCCATGGGATGGGATCCACGGGATGGGATCCACGGGATGGGATCCATGGGATGGGATCCACAGGATGGGATCCATGGGATGGGATGGGATGGGATCCATGGGATGGGATCCACGGGATGGGATGGGATCCATGGGATGGGATCCATGGGATGGGATCCATGGGATGGGATGGAATGGGATCCATGGGATTGATGGGATGGGATCCATGGGATGGAATCCATGGGATTGATGGGATGGGATCCATGGGATGAGATCCATGGGATTGATGGGATGGGGTCATGGGATGGGATCCATGGGATCCATGGGATGGGATCCATGGGATGGGATCCATGGGATGGGATGGGATCCCTGGGATCCATGGGATGGGATCCATGGGATGGGATCCGATGGGATGGGATCCATGGGGTTTATGGGATGGGATCCATGGGATGGGATCCATGGGATGGGATGGGATCCATGGGATGGGATGGGATGGGATGGGATGGGATGGGATCCATGGGATGGGATGGGATCCATGGGATGGGATCCATGGGAATCCATGGGATCCATGGGATCCATGGGATGGGAGGTGTCCATGCCTTGGGAAGGTCAGAAGGGATTTTCCTGGGGTGTTGTGGATGGATCTCAGCCAGGGGTGGTCCCGATCCCGCTTCTGATCCCATTTATGATCCCATTCCTGATCCTGCTCCTTATCTCATTCCTGATCCTGCTCCTGATCCCATTTCTGATCCTGCCTCTTATCCCATTCCCGATCCCATTCCTGATCCCATTCCCGATCCCTTTCCCGATCCCGTTTTCCCCCACAGCCGGTGCTGGAGGTGATCTGCTCGCGCATGCGCTACATCAGGAGGGGTTTCCATGGGATCTCCTGACCAGATCCCATTCCCAATCCCATTCAGGAGGGGTTTCCATGGGATCTCCTGACCGGATCCCATTCCCAGTCCCATTCAGGAGGTGTTTCCATGGGATTTCCTGACCGGATCTCCTGACCAGATCCCATTCCCTATCCCGTTTTTCCCCCACAGCCGGTGCTGGAGGTGATCTGCTCGCGCATGCGCTACATCAGGAGGGGTTTCCATGGGATCTCCTGACCAGATCCCATTCCTGATCCCATTCCCAATCCCATTCAGGAGATGTTTCCATGGGATTTCCTGACCGGATCTCCTGACCAGATCCCATTCCCGATCCCGTTTTCCCCCACAGCCGGTGCTGGAGGTGATCTGCTCGCGCATGCGCTACATCTCGTCGCAGATCGAGCGGCCGATCCGCATCGTGGCGCTGAGCTCGTCGCTGTCCAACGCCAAGGACGTGGCGCATTGGCTGGGCTGCAGCGCCACCGCCACCTTCAACTTCCACCCCAACGTGCGCCCCGTGCCCCTGGAGCTGCACATCCAGGTAGGGACAGCGGCCGCCGGGATCCTGGGAAAATCCCCTGGGATCCTTGGAAATGCTTGGGAAAATTCTGTGGGATCCTTGGAAATGCTTGGGAAAATCCCTTGGGATTGTTGGAAATGCTTGGGAAAATCCCCTGGGATCCTTGGAAATGCTTGGGAAAATCCCGTGGGATCGTTGGAAATGCTCGGAAAAATCCCTTGGGATTGTTGGAAACGCTCAGAAAAATCCCCTGGGATCCTTGGAAATGCTTGGGAAAATCCCTTGGGAAAGTTGGAAATGCTCGGAAAAATCCCGTGGGATTGTTGGTGACTCTTGGAAAAATCCCGTGGGATCGTTGGCTGATTAATCCTTGGGAAAATCCCTTAAGATCGTTCTTAACTCCTGGAAAAATCCCTTGGGATCGTTGGTAGCTCTTGGGAAAATCCCTTGGGATCATTGGCTGATTAATCCTTGGAAAGATCCCTTGGGATCGCTGGAAATTCTTGTAAGAATCCCTTGGGATCGTTGGTAAATCTTGGGAAAATCCCTTGGGATCGCTGGAAATTCTTGGAAAAATCCCGTGGGATCGTTGGTAACTCATGGGAAAATCCCTTGGGATCGTTGGTAACTCTTGGATTTGGGATGGGATAGGATTGAGATTGGGATTAGGATTGGAATTGGAATTGGAATTGGGATAGGATTGAGGTTGGGATTGGCCATCGATGATCAATACAAGGATCAATCATCACCTGCCTGAATTAAGCGAATTTTCCGGCGTTTCCCACGGCTTTGGCTGGAAATCCTTTGGAATTGAGCGGGATTTGGGATTGGGATTGGAATTGGGATTGGGATTGGGATTGGGATTGGAATTGGGATTGGGATTGGGATTGGAATTGGAATTGGAATTGGGATTGGGATTGGAATTGGGATAGGATTGAGGTTGGGATTGGGATTGGGATTGGAATTGGGATTGGGATTGGGATTGGAACTGGAATTGGAATTGGGATTGGGATTGGGATTGGAATTGGGATAGGATTGAGGTTGGGATTGGAATTAGGATTGGAATTGGAATTGGAATTGGAATTGGAATTGGGATTGGGATTGGAATTGGGATTGGGATTGGAATTGGGATTGGAATTGGGATAGGATTGAGGTTGGGATTGGCCATTGATGACCAATACAAGGATCAATCATCACCTGCCGGGATTAAGCGAATTTTCCGGCGTTTCCCACGGTTTTGGCTGGAAACCCTTTGGAATTGAGCGGGATTTGGGATTTTCGGCAGGGTTTCAACATCAGCCACACGCAGACACGGCTGCTGTCCATGGCCAAGCCCGTGTACCATGCCGTGATGAAGCACTCGCCCAAAAAACCCGTCCTGGTCTTCGTCCCCTCCCGGAAACAGACGCGGCTCACGGCCATCAACATCCTCACCACCTGCGCCTCCGACGTCCAGCGGCACAGGTGACACCCCGGGGACACCACGGGGACACCACGGGGACACCACGGGGACACCCGGACACCACGGGGTGGCTTCGGGGCTGGAGAATGTCCAGGGATGGGTTTGGGGTTGGAGAAGGTCCAGAGATGGGTTTGGGGATGGAGAACATTCAGGGATGGGTTTGGGGATGGAGAACATTCAGGGATGGGTTTGGGGTTGGAGAAGGTCCAGAGATGGGTTTGGGGCTGGAGAATGTCCAGGGATGGGTTTGGGGTTGGAGAAGGTCCAGGGATGGGTTTGGGGTTGGAGAAGGTCCAGGGATGGGTTTGGGGCTGGAGAACATTCAGGGATGGGTTTGGGGCTGGAGAAGGTCCAGGGATGGGTTTGGGGCTGGAGAACATTCAGGGATGGATTTGGGGCTGGAGAAGGTCCAGGGATGGGTTTGGGGTTGGAGGTGGAGAGTTCCTAAGGGAGCTGAGAGAACTTGGCCTGGAGAAGAGGGGGATGATGGGATGGGATTGGGACTGGGATGGGATTGATGGGATGGGATTGGGATGGGATTGATGGGATTGGGATGGGATTGGGATGGGATTGATGGGATTGGGATGGGATTGGGATGGGATTGATGGGATTGGGATGGGAATGGGATGGGATTGATGGGATTATTGGGATTGGGATGGGTGATCCCAAAGGCCTTTCCCACCAATTCCCGGCTATCCCGCAGGTTCCTGCACTGCGCCGAGAAGGACCTGGTGCCGTACCTGGAGAAGCTGAGCGACCCCACCCTGAAGGAGACGCTGGTGAACGGCGTCGGGTACCTGCACGAGGGGCTGACGGCCATGGAGCGACGCGTGGTGGAGCAGCTTTTCAGCTCCGGTGGGCGCCCAGCGGGGTCGGGATCGGATCGGGATCGGGATGATGGGATCGGGATCGGGATCGGGATCGGGATCGGGATCAGATCGGAATCGGGATGATGGGATGATGGGATGGGATCCAGAGCCCAGCACTTCCCGCTCCTGGGATTAGGGATGACGTCCAAGCTCTGGGGACACCTCAGAGCTCCTTCCAGACCTGGAGGAGCTCCAGGAGAGCTGGAGAGGAACTGGGGACGAGGGATGGAGGGACAGGACAGAGGGAATGGGGAGGTTTTGGTGGGATTTTGGGAAGGAATGAGGGTGAGGAGGGGTTGGGATGGAATTCCCAGAGCAGCTGTGGATCCCTGGGAGTCCCCAAGGCCAGGCTGGAGCCACCTGGGATGGAGAAGTTGTCCCTGCCCATGGTGGCACCTCAGAACCTCTCCCAACCCAACGCGCTCCGTCAATCTCCACCTCCCGCCCCCAAAATCCCGGGATCTTGCGCGAGCGGCCGGAATTCCGGGATCGCTGACGCCGGGTGCCCTCGGTGTCCCCAGGAGCCGTCCAGGTGATGGTGGCCTCGCGCAGCCTCTGCTGGGGCATGAACATCTCGGCCCACCTGGTGATCATCATGGACACGCAGTACTACAACGGCAAGATCCACGCGTGAGCCGAGCCCCGAGC